TAAGTCCATATTCATGGCTCACATGTGCTGATCACTTAACTTTAGGATAACTTGTTTTACCAAATACTATACTACCTTTTAATACAAGTAATAATTACAATATTTTATTTGTATAGTTGTTCCTTGATTACTGTTTTTCCCCAAGGGAAAAAATATCAACTCTATGTTGGCTCAGAGTTTATATCATGGGATGCTTCTTTCAGGGAATAGCACATGGGACATGTTTCACAAGGAATCAAATGGATAGATGTTTAAAAGCAGTAGCCTTATCTTTTGTGAGTGTAAAAAATAATTCATGGGGCCCGGCACCGTGGCACAAGTGGTTAAAGGTCCTCGCCTTGCACGCCCGGGATCCCATATGGGCGCCGGTTCTAATCCCGGCAGCCCCGCTTCCCTTCCAGCTCCCTGCCTGTGGCCTGGGAAGGCAGTCGAGGACAGCCCAAAGCTTTGGAACCCTGCACCCGCGTGGGAGACCCGGAAGAGGCTCCTGGCTTTGGATCGGCATAGCACCGGTCCGTTGCGCTCACTTGGGGAGTGAATCATCGGACGGAAGATCTTCCTCTCTGTCTCTCCTCTCTGTATATCCGCCTTTCTAATGAAAAAATAATAAAAATAAATCTTTAAAAAAAATAATTCATAAACAATTACTATGTAAAAATTGCTCTAAAAGTACAATCCAAGGGATAGGAATAGTGTGCTGTACCAATTTGCAAATAATAAACATGATTCTAAATTTCACATTGATAAATACTTTTTTGAAGGGCCTAAAAATTGAATTTGTGTTTGATAAAATCCATAAACACTTAACCATACACCAAGGCAGAACAAAATAAGTGATTATTATAAGCATAAGCAAGGTCTGTGGAAGAAGTTATGAAATCTAATTGGATTGATTAGACAAAGTCTTATGAAAAATAGTTAAGGGGGCCTTGATAGAGGAGGGTGAAGTAGCAGAGAGCCTGATAACGTGATGCCCAAGCTAAGATCAAAAAGTGATCAAACTTGGAAAATTGAATCACCTTGACAGATGTAGGGATACAAAGGCCGAATGAATGTAAAGTGTGGGCATTATTTTTCGCAGTAGAAGGGCATCATTGAACTTCCTGGAGCAGGAGAAAAGTGCAATCAGAAGCATGCATCATTGAACACGGATCAGAGAAGGGAAGTGTGCTGGAGAGAGAACAGTTATAATGGTGTTATACATGTCCAGGGAAAAACAGCATCCACACAGGTGGATAATTAGAAGTATTCAGGTAATAGACAACAAAGAGGGAAATTTTTAAAATCCCAATAGGGTGCCATGGATAATTTAGTGCACCTTTCTATTATCACATTCTCTGTGCCTATAAGGGGAATAATATTAACACATGGCTTAATTCATTGCTATGTATTTGTTAATTTTATAGACATCTAATAAGATTTTAAGAAAAAATATAGTTACTATCCCTTAGGTCTACCATGGCAAATACTTAGTATGTGTTAATTGCATTATCACCTTAAAACACCGGCGACAACTACATCTGAGATATTAGACCATAAATTACTGTCAGTCAGACATAAAACCCTTGCTTATCTTCTTACTGATTTTATAACTATAATTGCTTAACTACATCAGAATTAATATGTAAACACTAACCAAAAAAAAAAAAAAACCCACCACAATGCTAGGGCTGATCCAATTGCTATGATTCATTTATTCATTCATTCAAAAGTGTCCTGACTAGCTCCTGTGATCGCCCACTTACCATCAACTTTCAAGCACTGATTTTATCTCACACACAACAAGCTTTTTTATTTGGAGAAACGGCATTCAGTGGCAAGAGTATTTTCACAACACAAGATGCCTAAGATGTGCTTATTATACTTGATCTAGAACCACTCTGCCTGCTTTATAAAGGAGCTGTTAGCAAGCAGTGAGCAAAGATTTATGTGTATATGTCTCCTAACGTGCAGTTTTCTTCCTTTTACTTAACGATAACCACACAATTAAAAGTAAGGTCCTTTTAATAGTCTATCCATCATTCTTACATACTGATGACCTCCATATGCTTAAATTTAAATGCTTTTATTGGTGAGGACCTTGCTGCATACTGAATGTGTAAAACATATTTTCAAGGAGTTAAATCAAATATTCCAGTCATTCATTCTCAAGAGTGTAGAAATAAGGGTCACCAGATGTGAAATTAACTAGTGTTCAGAACCCGAACTTATAGAGCAAGGTTAATTTTTCACAATATTGATATAGCTGGATATCTAGTTTCAGGAAAACGCAGCTCATGTGCATTATAATGGTACAATACTTCCTTGATGTTTTTAAATACTCACTGAACTACTCATCTTCAGTAATTTCTTGTTGCTTGCATTCAAAGTGTATCTCAGTAGTTCTCAAACTTCTAGGGAATGCTGGAGTCTTGACAATTCAATGAGCCTTAGGAAACAGTATTAACAGGAGAATGATCACCCATACACGCTTGCAATTTATTATATACTGATGTATTTTAATATATAAAATCAATGCATATTCTAACCTGATAACTAATTGCACCCTGGGCATCTATGCCTCTCATAGTTCAAGAATCCTGAGATTTCTCAGTCCACTTACTAATATGCTTTCAACGGCTGCTGGGTTCATTATACCACACTTTCCTAATGTAAGGCAAATTTTAGCCATTTCAGGAAATGGGTGGTGTTGCCTCTGTTGTGTTTAAAAATCATGATTTAGTACCCCAGATCATGTTTCTAAAGCAAAATAGGTACAAAATGGATTAAGTACTCACATTCAAGCCTTGAATTATTGAAGAAGATGAAGGACCAAACTATGATTTTGTATCAGAAATTATTTTCAAAGGGTTTTAAAAGTTACCAACTAATTTGATTTTTAAAGTGCTGTTTTCTTTGTGAGATGCAAACAAAATATGGCTATATGGAGAGAAAACAGGAATGTTCCTTTACACACCTTTTTTCCAGATTAACATAAACTAGGCAAATACTCCATGATATTTTCCCCAGGGATTTGTTACTTTAAATAGTATTACCAGAAATTACTTTTTACTTAAATTGTACTAAGGCACAACCTTATTTTTTTTTTTATTATTCTTACTACTCTATGAATTTGGAATTACCATCCTTCATTTACTAAGGTGAAATGTGAGAGTCAAAGAAATTGTATAAACCATGGCTAGTTCATGATGGTATTGAAAATCAACCATAATTTTTCTCACTTGACTTCCATTGATTTTAACAGATAAAGCCATATTCCTTAAATCAGTGTCTTGACCTGGTTTTCAGTTAGTCCTGCGAATTTACGGTTTCAAGTCCATTCCAAGTGAGCACATGAAGAGAGGTCCATTTCATGGCTCTAATGTGTCAATCATGAAATCCAATGGAGAATCAACATTTTCCTCCTGCTTATCTTCCTTTCACAAGTAGCATTACTTTCTATGCCACTTCATCACAAAGTGGTGTCGCATAGAATTTTTAAAATCATTAAATTCACACTTGTATTAAGAAATATTTTATTAACAAAACAGTAAATTCCACTTGCTTAGCATTTCCAGTAATGGGGTAAATTGGCCTTGCAACAGAAAAACAAAACAAAACAAACCCCTTAGATACCCAGCCACACGAAGCACTAGAAGGGTAGGGTCTTGTGGCCTTTCCTGATGTCATAGGGATTGACCACCTCACACATTATCATAGTATTTTTTTTAAAAAGGCAACACATTACATGGATAAAAAAGAAACCTACTCAATCATAAAAGTTACACTCTAGAGATGTAACCAAATTTATGCCAGGTAAGTGTGAAATCTTTTATTAATTGCAGGTTATGTATGGAACCCTGATATGTTTTGTATGAAGATACTTTAATTTTATTCAAGTCGTTTTCTTTCCCTAACTCATGTTCTTTTCTTTCTCCATTCAGAAAAAAATTACTAGATTTTGTATAGACCAATTAACAACAAACAATTTATAATAGAAAGATTATATAGTTGCATGAGATTTCATAATTATGCCGGAAAGAACCACTGCTATCAATCTCAAACATCAAGTTTCATACTTACACTACTGGAAAATGTCACTAATCAAATTATTTTCTAATAGACGTCAGAATTTCATTCGATGGAAGTAGCTCAACTCCAAAGGCCAAAGCCAAATGGAAAAGCAACCACATTTTTAAAAACCTCAAGCTGTAAATTTTTAAATCCATTTTTTTTTTAAATTTCACTGGCTTTCCCTGAGTAAGATTAAATGAGAGGGGGGAAAAAAAAAAAAAAAAAAAAAAAAAAAAGACCTGTGAATTCTTTAACCTGGCAAGTTTAAGCAAATGTAAAACTTAAACCTGAATTACTGAATATTGAATTTTTGTTTCACACCATCTGACTTTCTGGATCACACACAAAAAAAGGCCTTTTAGATTCTTCATGTGTGACAAATTTTCTGCAACCAAAGGTGGTGGTGATTTGCTATGAATCATATCTCTCTAAGGCGCTTTATGTCTGAAACGCAGGCCGCTTCTTGGCTTTTTTTCTTTATCAACGACAATATCTCAAAGAATATTTTGCATTTTTTTGCTTTTGTTGGTTAAAGCTAATTTTCAATATATTTTTCTTCTTTAGTGAAATTTAATATAATTTTCGGTTCAAGTAATGTGACCAATATTTACCAAAGAATCACTTTATAAATTGATAATGCGGTTTTTGCACTACCTTGTCATATTGATAATTTATTGCTGTGAACATCATTGAAGTAATATGCAAAAACAAGTGTATAATCTCTAACTTCCTACAACTTAATGTATGTTAAACTAAAGCTATCTTTAATGATATATATGTAAGACCAGGAAAGTTAAAGTAGTCAATCATTAAAAGATAGAGAATGAATGTTTAAAATGGGTAGTAATACAGAATTAAAAAATTATTGAAAATACTTTCTTAGTTGAGAAAAGTGTTTACTTTCCAAAAATGTTTATCATGCACATCAGGTTCAGAGAATATGTGTCTGTATATATTACTTTATTGGAAATAAAGTTTTTAATTGCAGCAGCCAGAGTTAAGGTATAGGTTAACCAATTTCTGTAACCTGCTCACATAATAATTCATATTCATGCAGCAGTATACAGTGATATTTTATTTGGTAGACAAAGGTTCCATTTCATTAGGGACTAAAATTTTCTCAGGGCATCCTGGGAACAAGATCTCAGTGAAGCAAATCACCCCATTTGTCATCAATACCTTGGCACAACTGTCTTCCTTTCTGTTTTTCAATTTGTCAGGAAATGGTTACTATCAAATGCACATTTGGGTCTCCATTCTGTATTTTGGCTTCCTGTGTGTGTGTGTGTGTGTGTGTGTGTGTGTGTGTAATGCAATATAACTGTTTGGTGTGCAAATATGAGTATCTGGGGGAGAAAAGATTATAAGATACATATGTATATATTTTACTTTCTAATTCACACCTTCCGTACAAATACTAAAACTTAACTGCAACAGAATGAAGGCTGTACATGAAAAAAAAAAAGCAGCTGAGTCTTTTTTATATACATTCATACATATCTTCCTTAGAATAAACACTACACTGTATTCTTTAAAAAATTAAGTAATTGTGGCAATTTATAATGGTGGCAAAAAAAAATCAACTGAAATAATTGTTCCTCTGATGTCATGAAACTCCCTATACTTAGCAACACTTAGAACGTTGAATTTTCCAAAAATGGCCGAAGAGCAGAGATATATTTTGCGTTTTTCTATACAACAGGCTATAAAACATCACTTATCACAGTCCAGAAAGCACACAGAGATGGATTTTATATAAACATATGTAATAACATAGTAAGCGTGCATGAAAATTTCCAATGATTGCCTCTATGCCCTCATTTGCATTTTGAAATTTTAGTGTGAAAATCTGCCTTATGTTTCACATCTTTGAAAATAAGGCCTCCATAATTGTTTCCTTTCCTCCCAACAACCAGAAAGGGGCTTTTTGAATGTGTTCCTACACAAGTCTTCCAAAAAGCCAGTACTTCATTTCCAGCAAGTTCCCACCACTGCTACAGTTGCACCAGGCGGCAAACTCCGAGGTTTGCAGCGTTGAGTCACTCGGAAGGGACAGTCTTATCAGCAATCGGACTGACTTCTCAGGAAAGCGCTAGCACTTTGGCTAAATCCAGGATCGTAGGTAGCTTCTTTTTTAGTGTTATGTTTTGTGTCGTTTTTGTGTTGTGCCTTGATGTTGTAATACTCCTTTGCTTTATGAATGCGTGCGGTCATCACTGTCTTTTAGAAATGTTCCAGCAACATAAAGACAGGCAGAGTGGATGAAAACACTGTGGATGTTAGGGAATTGATTGGCCCCTGTTTTTTTGTTTTTTTCTTTTTTTGAGAAACAAGAGCATGAGATACTTGTTTGTTTTTTTAAAAACAGTCTTTCCTTCCTGATTGCATTCCCTGTCTTCTTTTGTATGTGCTTCGTAAAAAGGAAAGTAAATAAGTTTATATTATGTCTCAGATAAAATGACGACTATTTCTATACACGTGTCCTTCTAAGATCTCGGGATCAGACATAATACTCTTTATCCTTGTTTTTCTTGTTTTTGTTGGCGCTTTTCGCACTGCTGGGCTGTTTCTCCTTTACGACAGCCCCGTTGGACTGTGCGGAGTTACTGATGTAGTTTCGACTCTCGTCCACGTGGTAGGAGCCTTCATCTCGGTTTCTGTACTTGTACATGGCATAGAGGAGGATGAGGATGCATAGGGCGGCAGCAGCTACGATCCCAACGACCATGCCTGTCGTACTGCTTGACTCCCGAATCACTTCCGCCGAGCCTGGGTATGGCTCTCTCCCACCTGCCCGGGTTGGGTTGGCTGCAGGAAACAGGAAGAGAAACGAACAGTAAAGCATTATTAACTTGACTGAGTGCCGTGGAGCCACATACAATCACATTCGAATAGGTGTCAGTACCTAATGGGACAGTCCCTGTTGCTAGGAAAAGTCTACCGTTGCTGTGTGGAGCAATCACCACAAACCAGAGACTGCGCATCAAAGTGCTGTGAGAGATTTGCTGCCACCTTTTCTCTGTCCCAGATCAATTCTGTTAATAAGGTCATGTACGCAGAACATCACAAAAGCTTCAGTGAGCTCTAAAGGGTGATTGATGTCAGTGTGGTGGGTGAAAAAAAGTGAATTAAGTAAAATCACAGAGCACAACAGCTCCACCCTATATAATCAGAAGCAATCATTTTAAGAATCAAGTTGATGTTGCCACAGGACACCTAGGGCTAACTTCAGACTGAATAAGGTCCAGTAAATACAGAAATATGTGATAAGTCATAATGCCTTGTGTAGAAATTAGTATTGCATATTGATAATTAAAATTTTTGAAGAGTCAGCATTTTGAAGTATAATTTTAGTTACAGCATCATCAAGTTCTTATTTCCTTTTCTGTTTAAGATCTATTTGTGTACACATCATGGGAACGTTTTATTTATCCACTGGCAAGGACCGAATAATGTCCAAAGCTAAACTGAGCACTAGAAATCTAGAAAATATTATTTCTCAGCTTTCAAGATCTTCCTGATTCGTTTCAAGATAAAACTCCTCACCAATACAGATAATAAAAGAGTGACTGACCTAGTTATGTTCGGCTAAAAAAAAAACTCTGATTCAATCTTTTCAAAGTATAAGTAAGGGTCTTGGTGGGGTCAAAGTAAAGGGCTTTCAAGGTGCCTAATGTCTTCTCTACGGCATTTTCTGGAACTAAAATTAGCTATGGGTGATGAACAAAAGGCCTAGGGTTTGGCTGGTAGAGGAGGAAGATGGGGGTCAACGAGGTCTCTCAACAGTCTTTTAATGTAAAAGAATATGACTCTATGGAGGACAGATCCTATCCTGCTGTTTTAACCCGTGTCATTTTTCTCTTTGGTTTAGGTTTTCTGTTTTTCCTCTTTCATTTCTTCTATAAGATATTAGTTCTCTGATACAATTGATTAAAAATTTTACAACTTTTAAGATGCCATTCTCTATAAACCATACAAAATAAATGTAAATGATATGTAGACATTGTATATATTGGATATGTATACATACATATGTGCTTCATGTGCAGGAATATTTCAACATTTACTCACATGAGATATATATGTATATCTCTCAACACTTAGACACACACACACACACACACACCTCAACAGCTGCAATTGAGCAGATGCAGGAGATTGCAATTGTGCTTTTATTTCACTGCTACCTGACATCATTCAGTAACTGCCTTTGCTGACATCAGCCACGTTTCTTCTGCCCAAATACTCATTTCCTTGCTCTCGTTTCTTTTCTTTCCCCAAATAAATATTTACAAATATAGCCACTCACAAATCACAGTGCTCAGAGTCAAAGTGGCAGTATGCTGTGCTTTGCACTTGGAAAAAGTAGCAGGTAAAACCTATGCTTAAAAAATCACCGCTTGTTTTATAAAACCCTGTGTAAGGTTGCTCAATAAAAGGCCGTGGAGTTACTTCTGGGACCAGGGTAGGAGCTGACAAAGACTATAATCCACAGTATTTGATTACAGAAAATTAATTTCCTCTCAAAGGAAACAGAGCTTAATGCAGTCACTGTGTCACTACCTGACAAACCAAAGGCAGCCCTTTCTCTTTTAAACACAGTTATCTTTGCCAAAGCATGCCAATTAGCTCAGCTGCTAATTTTCACTAAATAACAACTTTGTGCTCTTTCCTTTGGCAGATCATTCTCTAATCACAGTATCTTATAGGGCTAAAAAGGAATCTTATTTAAATACTACCTAAGTCATTTTCCCTGTTGCAATGCTTTCATTGCAGGCACATTTTCACAATTGTCTCCCTTGTCTGTCAGAATAAGGAGGACAGAGATAGCAATCTTCACCATTCTGCTCATGATAAAAAAATGAGAGGATTTCTTATTTAAATTTTCTTTACCAAGGATATTCACATTTACACACTCATTTAGGAACTGGCATCATCAGTGGACTACATTACCTATAGGTGTTAATTTTATGCACTCAACTCTCAGATGTTTGCAAAAACATGCAGCACACCCACAACAAATGGGTGCTAAACCTAGGATAAGACTGCAAAATGTAAAGCAAAACCTGAAATATTTCAGTTTGTCTTACAGGCCTCCCAAAGGAAAAATAATTTTTGGTGATGCCAGCCAAAATGGTGTTTAAGTTGCATTGGTTCTGTAAATATCTCCATGTAATGCTTATGTCAGGACTCTAAGTTTTATAACTTAAAAATAGCATGCAAAAACTCTCAAACTGAAATCTAATCTAAAAGAACAAACATTTTATCTCCACCCCACTTCCCAATTTTCACTAGAGATTCTATACCCACTCAACTGGCAATCTTTTGGTTTCTTTGGAATATATAGTTGGTTTCTTATATTTTTTTTCTATTTGTGAATCAAGTCTAAATGATAAGTGGTATTTCTTTTAGTTCTTTAAAACACTGATGGGTTAACATGTGAAAGGGACAGTCAGTCTCTCTCTCTCTCTCTCTCTCTCTCTCTCTCTCTCACACACACACACACACACGGGGAGATTTATTCTTCCAGCTGCTGATTTATTGCCCAACTGACTGTGATAGTCAGGAGTGCCAGCCTGAAACTAAGAGTCATGAACTGCAACCAGGTTTCCTAGGTGAGTGATAGAAGCTCAGTCAAGTAGTTGGACAACCATCTGCTGTTTCTCAGTGTACTAGTAGGCAGCTGAATTGGGACCTGGGTAGCTGGGCTTCAGCGGGATATGAGCCTCCTAAGTGGCAGCTTGATTTGTTACATCCATTGCCTGCACCTCTGCATTTATTCTAAGAACAAAACTATTTATGTATCAATGGAACAGCTTTTCCAGATCTACTATAAAAAGCTAGGGAAATTTAAATAAACTTATGAATTATAAATATGGCTTCACTCATCATCAATGCTTTGTTTACTTCTAAAAAAAATCTGAAAAAATTATTACTAAAATAAATACAAAGAAACAATAAATGGCCAAGGCTAAATGTATTCTTATGTCATTTGTATAAAATTAGCATAAAAGAGAGTAATCTCTTAGCCATTTATGACAATACTAAAAAAGAGAAATCCAAAACTAATTTTCAAGTTACATGGGTCTTAGAATTTGACATGCCCTTTAACTCCATAAAAAACTAAAATTAAACCATTTTAAAATACAGTCTGAAGTAGACTGTTGTGGTATCGTGTGTGTGTGTGTGTGTGTGTGTGTGTGTGTGTGTGTGTAGGCTGGATCTCGGCTCAACTTCCAGTCCAGATTCCTGCTACTGCTCCTGGGAAGCAGTGGATGATGGTCCAATTGCTTGTGCCTCTGCCCCTTTATGGAAGACCTGACAGAAACTCCTGGCTTTGGCCTGGACTAGCCCCAGTGGTTGTGGTCATTTTAGAAGTACAGCAAGTAGACAGAGGGCTTTCCTTTCTCTCTCTATAACTCTGCTTTTCAAATAAGCCAATAAATCATTCTTCTTCTTAAATGAAATTTATATTTCTTGCTCCTTTTTAAAAAGCTTTATTTTTAGTTGAAAGACTGACAGAAAGTAAGAAAGGAAGGAGAGGGGAAGAGAGAGACAGGTATCTTCCATTTGTAGGTGTACTCATCAAATGGCTACAACAGCCAAGTCTGGGTCCAGGCAAAACCAGGAGCCAGACACTCCATCCTATTCTCCTACATGTATTAAAGGCCCAGATCCGCGGGCTATATTCCACTGCAGGTACGTTAACAGGAACCTAGACAAGACACGGAAAAGCCAGGACTTGAACTGGCAATCCAATCCAAGATGCTGGCATGACAAAAGGTGAAATAACGTGCTGTGCCACAACACCATCTCCAAGACATTTTAAATTCAAGTAACGTGCAATATGATGTCCTCAGCAGTGCTGAAACCTGAGTAAATGTACTTGAGTTGACTCTCAGTCCTTCTCTTGTTCATTGTCCCCCCAAGTTATAAAATCATCCAGAAAAACATAAAATAGAGAGCAAGAAAGAAAAGCTAAGTGTTGGGATGTGCATTGGTTAGCTTCAGAACTTTGAAGACTGAAACACGTTGACTCTCATTTTTGTTTAAAACTAAGTTCATGCAACTAATTCATTATGTTGAACCCAGAGACAGAAGGAGTCTGGACTAATGAAGACTTGACTGGTACAGATGACAATCACTAGCAAGCCAAAGCATTGATTATCCTTCCTTTGTGATGAAAAATATACAAATATTCAGATTTGGGGGCAGTCTACATATTTTAATTTGAATCAAGGTCACTAGCAGGGGAAAAACAAAGTGTACAAACTGAAATCTAAGGTTGTCAAGCTCATTTGTGGCTTTTTCCAATGACTCATATGGAAAAAAATAATCATGAATTTTACATAATTTATGGAAATACTACGAAGAAAGTAATCACTTATATAATTCTATCTCCACAGTCAGGAAACTTAGGCAAGAATTCCCATTTTCACATACTCCTCAGAGTGAAATGAAATTCAGTGTAAACTCCTCATCTGCTCCATATGGGAGAATACATGAATAAAGTAATGAGAGCAAATAAGCTTCATGGTTTTTCAACGGAAACAAATCAGAAACTTTTGATTGTGATAGTGTTGGCAATGCAGTATTAGAATAGCCATTACCTTTTCATATTTTTTTTTCATAATTCTCCTATTAAATATCTATGGGAAAATTCATAGGGTTATGTTAATTTAAATTCTCTCCCAGCTCTCTCTCTTTCTCTCTATCTCTCTCCATCCTAATATCGAGCTATACCTAATGGGTTCCAGAGCTTTTTGGATGGTCTGTTTTGGCCCAGTTGTTACATCTAAAACCTGGTA